GGGGGGGGGGGGGGGGTTCGGGTTTCTGGAATTAGGCTTGGCTTCCAGAAAACTCTGAAGTTCGTGGGTGCTACAGGGATCTACAGGGGTTTACGGGTTTACGAGGTTGGCTTTAATCAAGAGTTGTTTTTTTTGAACGTCCCTTTTCCCTTCCTGCTAGAGTCATTAGGTCTTTAGGTTTTACATGCCTGGGCTCTTCCTACGGACCCTTTGAAAACTATGGCCGTTGCTTCTCCTTGGGAACATAGTGGCTTAGCAACCTCTACACCCAGACTTGAGTTTCGACTCTGACGCTCGCACCAGGCAGGCAAGGCTTCCAGCAACAAGCACGAGCGCTGCAATGACATGCGGGATACAAGCAGAAGCATGCTCACGGTCCAAGGCCTATCCCGAAACCCTGGAGATTACGCAATTTAGGGTCCGGAGTTCGCTATACCCAAGCCCCTAAACCCTTATACAAGTACTTCACCCTGACATACTAAACTTACTAAACATTCAACATCAGGACACTGCAAGCAGATGCAGACCCGAAACGTTGAATCCCGAACCCTGCAGCCTAAACCCCAGGGTGGTGGGTACTTCGGGAAGCGGTGATACGGAAAAAAAGGCAACTGCTCTCCGACTGTAGGGGCCATAAATAATTAGAATAGGGTTTTGGGTTATATAAGGAGCCCCCAAAATAGTATTGGTAATTATTATAAGGCCCCTACATCAGCCATGTCCTTTCTTTCTTCGAGCCTGTGCCACGTGCGCTGCGGCTTCCTGGGAAGTTAGGCTTCAGAAAAGTAGGGCTCAATATATGCTCATATAAGCAATCTAGCCTTAAACTTGAGGCGGCCTTATATTCTGAGGATCCCACTATGTAAGGTTCTGTTGCAGTCCGAAAAAACGTAGAATTGAACATCGGGATGGTTTGTTCATGAAGGCCTTCAGGCACAGAACACATCAAGACACTCACGTGAAGCAGTGGGTAGTGCTGTGGAGGTTTAGGTCTCTGAAGAAATCCGAGTTCCACAGGCAACACATAGCATGAGCTTGATACTGAAATTTCGAACATGTGCATCCAGCATCCCCGGCCAATTGCATCAGCTTTGCCCAGCAAGAATCATGGCACTGGTTGCTTTTGCCACCAATGACAATTAGAATAGGGTTTTGGGGTATCGTCTGTTGTAGCTTCAAAAGGTAATCCTAAAGAAGACTAGGTGTACTTGTTCAGGCCATTACGAGTACTGGTACCAAAAGCTGGCCAAAGCCTACCCCTTCCAGGCCTCCTCATGCTGGGCAAACTCACGCTCCTGCTTCTCCTTGATCTCTCGGAACTCGATCATGAGGGCCTGCCACTCTGCCCTACCATGATGGATCCCTATATGGTATATGAACCTTAAACCCTTTTAGGGTTCATTTCGTCCTTAAGGGAACCAGTGAGCCGTCAGGGTACGACGGGTGAACGACTTGGAGGCTGATCAAAAGCACCGTTGTACACGAGGAAGGGCTTTTGTTCAGCTGTTTGTGTATGCCAAGGCAAATGCACACACTGGCACAGCGCTACACAGCATAATGAGATTCATTCTCCAACAACAAGCGTCAAGTTTAAGAAACTTGGTCACAAGTCAGTCCAGTACATTGCATTTGTCTTGCTTGCATGTATTTATACATACTATATGGATTACAATCAGCATGTGCATGAAGTCTTCATGTCCGTGCATCTGTAACAGCACGCAGCCATTGGTTGCGGTAGTAGGACAGCACGAACTGTGATCATCAGTGCGACTCCTGACCATGATGCAATTCGCTTAGAAGTCAACGCGAACTTTGTCATTGCCTCGACCCTGTCTTGTATGGTCTCTCATTCCGAAGCGAACCGTGAAACCCTACAGCATGCGGCCGCCCCTTGTAATGATTCGACTTGCCGAAAACTTCTTCCTTGATCGTCAGGGCGGGCAGAATCTTGCAAAGCAAAGCCTCCACACACCCGGCTTCATGTGCAGTCATAGGAATGAGTGACTTCCCGACGGTCCCAGGAATCCCAGGGACCTACCGGGCCTAAAGAGCCCAATGAGTCGTATCTACCTCCGGATGTGAACATGCCGAAGATGACTGGCGCCTCTTTCTTCCGAAGCGTCTACTGCCATGTACACTCCGTGCTATAAGATTTAAGTGACACTCTGTTCTATTCTACTCTACTCTACTCTATCTTCCTTTGTGGTCTAACCTATACTAGTCCACTTTTCCCTAAACCCTGAACCCTGAACCCTAAACTAGTCTCTTCGTTTTGGCAGAGGGCCATAGGCCTGGCATTTGTGCTCCAGCTTCTGGATCTGCTGACTCGAAGCCAAGACAGCCTCTCCGACAGGGGCGACTCTTTGGGAGGGTCGCCAGTTGCTACTGTTCTTTATGGGCTTTCCGAAATTCTTCTTATTCCCGGATTTACTCTTATGGCTGGAATCATTCTTGTTGCTCCGATGAAGATGAACATGATTCGACATGATGACTCTTGTGAGTATTCTCAATATTTCAACCACTGTTCTTCATAGTATTACTACTACTGATACTATTTACTGTTGGAGTTTCAGAAAACAAAGAACTCGCAAGCAGAACCTCAGATAGCAGGATCCTTATCATACCACAAGGACTCCCAGCTCTTCTCTCGTGCGCTCTCGTCTGTCATCTCTACCGGCAAAACCCGGTGCGAGCGGCCTCTGCTTCTTGTGCGAAGCGATCGCTATCGCTTTGGTGCCTCTGGCTTCGTGGCTGGATATCGGCTCTTCCTACGCTCTAGACTCGAACCCAGTACCTGTGGCTCAGACACTAGTTACTAGTTACCTGATGGATGCACAGCATTGGTGCAGCATGCAAGAAATTCAACTTTAGGTTCAGTGGCCGGGCACTGCGTCACCAAGCATGAATCTAATCTCTCGTCACGAGCAGTAGCCTCAAGGCCGCCCCGAAATCAGGGAGGAAGGCTTCATTCCGTCAGGGGCTCTGGACCGCAGCAAAGGGGCAAAGCCGTGGGCAGCATGTTCACCTCCTGTCAAGGGCCGTTAAAGGCTAAATTTGACACCCTGATACCCTAAAGGATCAGCGTGAAAAAGGCAGGCCTTCATGCCTCTGCACTTCTCACGGATCTTGAGGAAGATAAACCGAAAAAACCCTTATTGGAAACCCGGACCCTAGAACCCCGACCTCCCAAACCCGAGGCCCTAAACCGCGTAACAAACGTGGACACGGGCTATCATATTCGCTCCTCTGGGCTGCTAAGCCCGGACAATCCCAGCACGAAGATCACGCCGTCCGCGCCGGCGCTGACCATCGTCCGCCTGATGCTAGCGCTGCGCAAGTTTACTTAGGGTTTTGACACTCAGACTGTTTTTTTTCAGACTGTTTAGGGCTTAGGGCTTGGATGGGCTTAGGGTTTACAATTCAGGTTCCTGATCTGCTGCAATAAGAGGGCGTCTTCGGCTTTATAAGGCTTAGGATTCTGCGTGTGGTGCCTTTGAGCTCAAATCGTATTTTGACAACAACATGGCTCTCAGGATTCGGCTGAAATTCGGCGCCTTCATAGCTCGAATAGTACTTAGAATAGGGCTTTGGGGTACACCGCACTACCATCAAAACAGGAAACCAAAGAAGACTATTGGTTATGGCTCAGGCTCCTTAGGTTCAGGCCACGGGTGCGAATCTAAGGTATCTAAACTATCATGCAAGCATTGTGCAACAAGTTAGATTGTAAGATAAAGAAACTCTTCTGTCTCAGGAACATTGCATGCTGAGCTCCGAACTCCCACACGCAAGGGTTCAGGGTTTAGATTTTTTCTGCCTCTCGCTTAGCAAGAAGGCCAGCCCTTCAACCGACTTGAAAGTTCAATCCTAAACCTGAAGCCCTGAACCGCGAACTCCCGAACGAAACCTTAAACCTGGAGCTCCTAAGCAACACCCCCTAAACCCTAAACCCTAAAGCCCTTAAGGGATACATTCAACCCTAAACCCCAAACCCCTTAAGGGATACCATGGTCGTCTGCCCCAGGTCGACTCTCTATCTGCCGAGCTTAGACAGGGCTCCCATCAACGGAGACGCAGATCGCCGTGCACGCCATGCCATGAAGTGCCAATTCGACGAACTTGGGCTTGCCCTGGTAGCAGTGTTACACTGTTGTTTGCGTCCCGCTTGATTAGGACAGTGCCCACAATGAACAGCGAACACAGGAGGAGTTGGGCTGGGGTTGTTTCGGGTTTTGCGGTGTTGAAGCTTCTCTTCTTGAACTCTGGCTCTCTCACTCACTATCGCTTTCTTTGTTTCGTCAGGGCTATGGAAACCTCTCTCTCTCTCTCTCGCTTTCCGTCTCTTTTTTGCCGCTGCATCCAGAGGCCTAGAAGCGCCAGGCCAAGCAGCATGCTCAGTGGAAAACCAGAGTTTAGGCTTCACACTTCTCGTGGGTGGGAGGGGGGGTTTTTCGGGCTGTACAACATCGGTCTCAAGTTGAGGACGCCAGAGACTCTCGAGACGCTACCCATAGGCCCTAAAGTAGTTCCTTTTTGGGGGTTCATATCTAGAATCCTTTGAGGTAGTCCCAAAAAGGAACTACTATGGGGCCTATGGGTAGGCCTGCTTGGCATGACACCCCCAGTCCGTCGTTGCAAGGTTCAGCTTCCTCTTGAGACCTCGAGACTACGGGAGAGGTGGATGACATCTCTCGCTCTTCGTGTCTTTTTTTGCCTCCTACATGGCTGAACGAGTCGCGAAGTAGGGTACAAGTGTTTGACTCTTCGTGTCTCGATCCTTTAGTTCTGTTTCTAAGGACCTGGGAGTCTCAGCAGCAGTTCTATCCTTCCGGGCTCGTGCACCCCTATAGGCTCTGGACGCCGGTGTACCCCGGACCATTACCAAACACCGAGAACCAAGTACTCCGACTCAGTCTTTCTCTGTCTTGCCTGTGTGCACGCAAAGTATTGCTCTTTGCCTGGCTTTTGGCACAATCAAACCATCGAAGCTTACTTGCCGTGGTCCGCTACACTGCTACACCTCGGCTTTTCGGAGTTGACTCTACTTCCATGTCTTGGGTGGAGCATAGCACAGGGCCGAAAACTTAGTTGCTCTTTGAAGATACCCTCAAATCACTGCAAAGTGCGTTCCAAGCTCCCGAGATGTCTATAAGTTTCAAGTCGCAGCCCTGGACCTAGCATCTCACTGCAGCAAGTCCCACTCGCCTGGTAAGGCAATGACGTGTAGATCTGCAAGCCCCCTCGGGCGGTGCCCGCCAGGAACATGGAGTTGCCGTGGTGATGGTAAAGAGAGACGACCTCACTCACTGTCTAATGCAAAGTTTAGGGGTGGCTAGTGATCCCCTGTGTCCGGATTAAGTTCCCCATTGACAGAAAGATCAACTCTCCGCGAATACAAGCCAGCACCATGAACATGGGCATGACTACTAATCCTACCTTTATTGTGAGCAACTACTAATAATTAATAGCCTAAGCCCTCAAGCCCAAAATCCTTACAACCCAAAACCCGTAACTAACCCAACAAGTTCTAAAAGGCTTAAGGACCCCCGATTGCAGGAAACCAAAGACGAGCTAATCCTGGAGGCCGCTTGCCGACATGGCCGCACTGATATCGGGTTTAGTGCTCGTAGGGTTTAGGGATTTGTCGCTTGAAGGATTTTGTTAGGTTTAGGATTGAAGGCTGTTGGGCTACGAGAAAGGGTTCTAAATAGCTTTAGATGTAGGGCCCTGTAGGATTTACATGGGATTCAAAATTAAAAGGGTTTAGGGCTGAATTGGACCTGCTATGGATGTGGGATCCATTCCAACATACTCATCTTGCTGCTCTCTCTGTAGACATTACCATCTCTGTGATCCGTATCGCAACTGCTCTGTAGATATTCTTCGCATTGCATGTTATGTGTTACAGGGATCTGCTAGAACAATCAATTCCGAAAGCTGGCAAGTTGCAGAAAGTATCCTCTCTCTCTTTCTCTCTACACTCCGAAAACAAGAGATATCCAGAGATGCAGCTTTGTGCGTGTGGTTGCTGTGTGTGTGTGTGTGTGTCTGTTTGAGTGTGGCGCTTGCAAATTACGGTGCTGCCTGTTTCATCGGCCCATTCAATCAGAGAATGTATCTAACTACCCTTTGCGAAGGCATGCACCATGTATGCGCCTGCTCTACGGTCAGTAGAGATATATGGCCATGAATGTAAACACACACACACATACACAAATGTGTCCATCATGCATTTGACTACTGGCCATGTAATCCCTCGCCCCGCACATCACATTTACCCCAAAGGGTCTAAGTACTTATATGGTAGGTACTTTGGAGCCCAAAATATCTACTAATATGGGTACTCAGACCCTTTGGGTACTAGCTTGCTCCGTGGCGCTTTCACGTTGGACTCCAGCTCGACCTCGTACTCCAAGTCGCTCTGCGAGAACCTGGGAGTTCTCTTGAGGAGGTCACTGAACATAACATGGTGCCCTCTGTCTCCTCTTTCTTTCTGTATATATATATATATATATATATAGATATAGATATATGTGTATAGAGTTAATATAATTAATATAACTGTAATTATACAGATAGACCCAGATGCGAGTACGTAATACGGCTTCCTTGCACCCACACCAAAGCAACATGAGCATCTGGCAACAGGAGATGTCTGAATCAGTCACAAGAAGACTCCAGCAAGCCACAGTGGTCTGGTTCACCCGGGACTTCCAGGATTAGTTTGGGGAGCTGATTTGTTGAGTGTTAGGGGGTTTCAGGCTTCGGAATCCTTCTCCGGATTCCATCTTCTTGTAATCTTCAAGAATGAAGAACAAGGCCGGGAGCCTTTGAAGCAGCTGCTTTCCATTTCTGAAGACGCTGCAGGTCGCCTCCCCAAAGGGGGGGTCGGTCATGAGCTGCAGCATTCGGGTCATTTAGCGGGGAGCCTGCAAGAACGGTGGAGCTTGTCCTGTGAGAATCGCTCCGACAAGGTATGAGTTAATAGTCATCATAGCTCTCGTGATCGCAGAACCGCCAAGGTCACAGCCATACAACATGAATGTCTTGGGCACCCTAAACCTCCCCGCCTGGTCCGGTGAAATGACGCTCACTGCCAGGCGTTCCGAGCCAGTCTCGACGTGACTGGACTCATTGCGGAAGGTCGCGAGATTCCACCTTCACTTGCTCTCAGGTCCCACGAAATATAGATTATTATGTATACTGTAGATTATATATGATAAGTTAACATGCTATATACTCTGTCTGCTATTTGTTTTGTATTTCCATATTCTATATTCTTCAATACAAAACAGTGTCGTATAAGCAAATACTTCATCATCTTATAATGCCATATGATATGACAGATGTTGTCTTGTTTTTGTGTTATGTAAAGTGTTCATTGCAGTTTACAAAATACCTGTTCATGTACTTAACAAACTAGTAAATGTCGTATAACGAAGACTAGTTATTGTACAGATGCAGTACTGTGAACAAATATTTTTGCATTACATATATATATATATATATACATACATATATATATATATATGTATGTATGTATGTATGTATGTATGTACGTATCATAAGTTATACATTCTATAACGTATAGTGTAATTATGTACTGTTGTCTATTATTTATCCGGTACGACACATGGTATACTATATATTGTGTATGATCCATCATTTAAGGTTTCGTATTGAAGCAAAATTCACGCTGCTCATCTACAAGGCATGCATGACCCTGGTCGCAGATGGGGCTTTGACACAGACCAGGGCGAACTAAGACCTCCCTGGCCAGGCATAAATATGAAAACGTCTTTGGCTTCAGCAGGATGCAGTTTCAGTATGATTTTTCATCCATCGACTCATCAAGAGCCAGGTCTATAAAATAGGCAAACCCGTCGATCTTCAGGCCGGTGGAGAATAGCAATGACACCCTTACCTCTGCTCTCTGCGCCCGTTTCTGCTTAAGCTTGGCCCAAGGTTTTCTACGGCAAGAAACAAGAAAGAATGCCAATGGCAGCTGTGTAAACGCAAACTCTGCGTAATGCGCTACTGCAGCACAGAAAGTGTGGCAGGGATTCAACATGAACCCTCTCTACAAGCCTGAGGGAAAATAATGACACTCCCAAGACGCTTGATCAGCTTTCCATCTTGCGAGGTGCTCCACAAGGTATGGTCCTTCGGCTACGGTTCTGTGTAAGCCGTCCCTACCTGCAGCAGGCTGAAGCCCCCTTTAGAATGAAACGAGCATTGCCTGAGCTGACGAAATTCCAAACTCCTGCTCTGCAGCACAGAAACTCGGGATGATGGGAAGTCAGACGCAGTTATGTGTTGCAAAACCGAACAGCTCAGTCACATGCGCCTAGGTGTCTCTCATTGCCTTCTCTCGGACTCTCTCTCTCTCTCTCTCACTCTCTTTCCCTCTCTTCCCTTTGTTTCTCCTCTTCTTTGCTTCCTCCTCCTCCTCCTGCTCTTCATGCTTGAGAGCCCCTATTCTTGTGTGTGCCTGTCAACTCCACTCACACTTCCTTGCCGGCTTCGCCAAGAAGCCAGGAGTTTCAGACAATGGGAGACTCGAAACGAGACGTTGAATAGTCGAATCACTCATAGCATATTATCATCATCCACAGATAGATAGATAGATAGATAGATAGACAAATAAATAGGCAGATAGATCGATACCTCGATAGGCAGACATGTATAACATACTATATGTGCATACGACAACACGAGAATGAAGTATCCAGAACATTCAGAAACCCCCCAGACAGACACCAATGGTCTCCTCTAATTATGCCTCTGCCTCATGGCTTGATTCATTCAATGCCAGGGTTTAGGGTTTAGGGTTTAGGGTTTAGGGTTTAGGGCGGCCCGCCCCGGCATTTTTGTATGCTCAACGTGCTAACTACCGACAGAGAAGTCTTTAAAGGTGGACAGGTGCAGAGACCATTTGTGAAGTACAGCATACAAGTCTCAGGTAAACCGCTAACAAACCCTTAATTGGTACCTTAATTTCGGATGGGTAGTTATGTATATTAGGGTCCCTTTGGGGGTCCTATCTTTAAGGGTGCCGTACTGTCTGGGGGACCCCAGGAGGGACCCTAATTTAGAGAACTACCCATATATAATTTACATCTGTAACTCTATAACCCTAAACCCAAAGCCCTATATACATAAACGTGAGAGAGACAATCAGAGAGAGAGAGAGACGGGACCTAACCAAAAGATGGGTTACAACATCGGCTCCTCCGGGTCAAAGCTGAGGCATGTGATTTCCTGATTGTGGCCTCCGGGCCGTGTGCCGAATTCCGGTTCGACGATTCGGTTCCGTTTAGGGTTTGGACTCTCGCCTCGGACGCTGCAGGAGTTTAGGGTTTCGACTCACACACTCGCAAATGCAGGCATGGCAATAAGTGTCCGAGTTTAGGGTTTAGAGTTTAGGCGTCGGAGGCCCTCAACTTGCCTCTGAGATCCTGGTCGTCTTGTCTAGAGCGATCTTATCAGGGTGAAAGCACGCCTACTCACTGCCACTGCCAACACTTCTGTGTTTCCTTCGGTGCTAGCATTTCTACGGTACGGCAACTGCAACCGATATGGTCGAATACTTCTAATCCGGACCCTTTGCATTGCCGACGTGGATCTTGTGGCTCTGAAGTTTGCAACATGGAGTTGTCTAAGTCAATATTGAGCTTGTGGCAAGACAGTTTATGGCAATGCTCAAAGCAATCACAACCTCAACCACCCCCCCCACTGCTATGAGCTCTCGAAACAAGGCGGCTAAACCCCTTTGAACTTGGAACTCTCTTACGTGCCAGAAGGGCCAAGTATCAAGGATACCCCTACATGCCATCGCAGCCCCTACTCGCGTGAGCTGGACGGGGCCTGAGAGAGTGGCGAGTTTCTCCAGCGTCCGGACAGAGTACACATAGATGGATTTGCCTATGCAGTTGAGATCAAAGAACATCTGGAACCAGCCTTTGCCAACAGAAATTCAGCTCTCAAACCCCGTTCCCAAAACTCGGCCATCCTGTCAACTTGCGCTTCCAGGAGCTTGCCACAAACCCTTATGGCCATATGGATTATCTGCGGCGGCCTTGAGTGACGGCCAGAAGATGACCCCCATGGGTGAACTTCAGAAGCCCGACGCCCCGGAGGTTAATCTCCTTGTGCAGCCTGATGTCCTGTCATCCGACAGGGAAAAAAACGGCTACAAACATGCTTGGATTCTTCTAGGGGCCAGGATCATGACCATGGTCATGAGAATAACGAGAAGGAAACCCACACCTCTGCGGGGACGGGGGAGACGTTCGTCTCGACGGTCGCATCTGCGCTTTTCAGCGAACCGGACTTTGCATTCTATGCCCAAAGGGTCTAAGTACTTATATGGTAGGTACTTTGGGGCCCAAAATATCTACTAATATGGGTACTCAGACCCTTTGGGTTCTGTGGAGGCCGTCGCAGCGCAGAGATTTCGAGCAGCTGCGGGGGGACTCCTGCACTCCTCGGCTCTCCGACTTCTGGAAGCCAGAACCAAACCCTGAAACCTGATACAATATATGTATATATATATATATAAACAAACATAAATAAATAAATAAAAATGTGTATATATATATACACACACTATCTGTCACTATCTATAATATGAATACAGTCGTAGGGTTTCAGTGCGAATTGAGGCCTGACCAAGTCAGAAGTCGGAAGGGTGTGTAATTAGATAGATTCGAGCTCACGGATCAGGTGCGTGCTCTCTGTGCACGGCACATGGACGACAAGGCATCAGAATTCAAATTGATCCGTGCCAAAAGCAGAATATTAAGCGAGGCGCATGCGAGCGACGAATTAATGATCAAATTAATGGACAGACTCGATCAAACCTGGCATCATCTTTGAGCCAGGGCTTGATCCTGCACGCAATGGAATAGAGCATTTGAGATTGAGAGCCATCATCACAGTACCACCGAAGCTTGAACATAGCCTATCTCCCTCGCTGCCGCTGCAGGTCTTGCAGTTTCACATTGAAGTTCGTGGAGTTAGGTGCGTCTGGTCTATGGCTCTGTGGAACTTCCAGTGTATTGTCGGCACCAGGCAGCGCGTGCATGCAAGCACTCACACTATGAGAAGTCGTTAATGTAGCATAAACATCCGGAAACAAATCGGCACGTGCCACACTAACTAAACAGAGGTGAGACGTCCACTCTCACCCCGGAGCAGCAGCCACTCGGCGACTTGCCTTGTGCCTAAAGGAAAAAACTAAGTTTCCCTTCGGCACTTAATACTGTCGTACAAGCTGGCTGATGGTCCAAAATCATATCTGCGCGGCTACCTTTGCTGGTTCCGTGGGGTACCATTGCACTGGCCCCAACAGATGCTGACTGCATGACAGCTAGATTGGAGGCGGCTTCCATCTCACGTCCACTCGAGGGTCCACCAGACACAGGCACGAAGTCAGCACTCTGACATCTTCGAGGCCCTTTGCCCAGCAACGTCTCGCAGAAAAGTGGAGTTCTCTTTTGAAAGCCCGGGATGAACTGGCCGTGGACGCTGCCAACGAGCTTCTGCACCGCAGACTTTTCGCAGCAACGGATCACAGCATATCCCCGTGACTTGCCATCTGGGAAACGGGCCATCTCTATCTCAAAATCCGTCAGACCCTTTGCCCGGAGGAAGTTGCACAAGACTCGGAGATCACACTTCGAGGGGATGTTGCGCAAGAAGACCCCACGAGTTTCGTCCCTGCCCTCGCCCTCTGCCATGTTGCGAATCTTTTTTCCACAAGGGACTCGACTGCTGCCCATGTTGCGAATCTAAAGGCCAAGACTTTCCGGCTAAGCTTGAAAGCTGCCGAGGCTTGGAATCCCTGAAGAAACGCTTGCTACCTCAAATAAGACTAGCAGACATCTAATCTTCATACTAGCGCTCCAGACATGTGATCAAAGGTCGTAGCTTCATCAAGTGACTCGCGGAAAGATCGGGCAGCTGCTGTGAGCCTCTCGGCTCGGAAATCAGACTCTGAGAGATTGGAGTCACTTGCAAGACGGAAGGGGGCCGACGAACGTTTTTTGCCTACATACATGATATGACATGCTATAACTTGGATGTCAAACCTAACCCCCAAAACCCTTAAGCCTAAACCCTCGCATAACAGGAGCACAACTCAGCATGCAAAACCCTCATCTCACGAGCCCTGGGTTGAGGGCCTTCAACGCTCTAAAGCCTGCTATAGCCAGAGCCCATAGAGACCCTCAGGAAGCCTTCAAAGAAGCCCTAAACTCTTCCTATCCCCCCCTTTTTGTTTGGCATCAGACTCGCCTGAAGGTCTGAGAGACCCTATCTGTCACCCTNNAAAAAAAAAAAAAAAGACAGTGAAACCCCTGCAGTTCAGCCCTGCGATGGAGGACCTTGATCAGGATATGGTAGAATCGCAGCTTCTCTGCAAAGCCCATGGCCAAGTAGTAGCCGAACCTGCAGCAGGGCGTTTTTGACGGCTCCTGCATTGCTTTGGGTTTAGGCTGCCAAACCTGCAGCAGAACCTGTCACGACCCTAACCCGGAAAAAGCCCTACCCCCAAGGTGCAGATTCGGCAACCCACCAATACCCCCAAACTTCTCAACCCTAAACATGCTGCACTCTCACCACTGACCACTGCATTCTGGGTACGAAGGGAATGGCGAGGGGCCGTGCATGGAAGCTTCTTTGGGCTTGTCTTCAACAGCTCCCCTCCACCTGTCTGTTCAGGTCTACGAAGGCTCCCCCCCCCCC